ATTATATTTCATCCAGTTCATCTCAATCAAGTCCTGTACCACCTCACTCCAAGCGAATATAAGCCTTTGCAAAAGCATGGTAAATCTGTCTTTGAAAATGTAAGGAGTGCCTTGTGAAACGCTTCCCTAGGCGTCAGACCATAATTAATTGTGAAAATGAACTTTGAGAGTAAATTTTTCAACTTCCCTCGACAGTGAAGAAAAACATTAGAAATATTGTTAAATTTGATTCGTGGTAAAATCATTAATCATACTCTTCCGGTCACAGTCAATGACATATATATCTATATAAATAAAAATGTAAATGTTCTTTTTGTTCAAAATCGCTAATTTCCGAAAGTTCTTCACCGACTGCTTTGAAATTTTGACACAATGCTCCATTCGAATACACGTGTGTTTTTATTATGGTCTAAAACTGTGGAAAAACTGTAAAATTATATTATTCCAAATACATAATAGTGTGTACATACTAGATTTATGTTTACAAATGTCATTTTTAAAACAGCTGTTTAAAACATTTTTTTTAAACAGCATCATCTGTTGGACATAAAAGCAACACATACTGTGTGTTTTTCATGTGAGGGAGATCTCCGAAACTTCTTCACCGGTTGCTTTGAAATTTTGACACATCTTTGCATTCAAATACCAGCCCGTTTTCCAAACAAAGACCCAAAAGTTATTCCATGCACCCGCCAAACCCCCTGTTTATGAATGACAAACAATTTACACACGACTCGACTGATTTCGTTCGAACACTTCCGGAACAAGTGCTTCACTGGAGAATGTTATTCGAACCACAACGCTGTAAATGCTTCACCCGCGTACTACAAATGCAAATAATCGCCAAAAGAACCTAAACACCTAACCTAACCTATGCCTATATATGCACAATATGCTATTATAATATTATTTTATATTTGAGAAAATTCCCGTTTTGAATGAACAGCATGTAAAAGTTATGAATGCGTCTGTGGGGTCGACCGCTGGATGTAATGGACTTGAGACGAGGATGGGTTGTCGAATACGCGTGTTTTTATATACCTACTATATAGATGTCAAACCTGTGACAGGTAAGAGTATGTTTTTTTTTTAACTGTTTTTTTCATGTAAGGGAATGGTGGGGAGGATGAGGGGATGGGGAGTGAGGAGATGGTGGGGAGAACGAGGAGACGGGGAGGGGGGGGGGGGAATGGTGGGGAGGAGAAGGGGACGGGGGGGGGGGATGAGGGGGCGGGGAAGTGGGGGAATGGTTGGGAGGACGGGGGACGTGGGGGGGGGGGGTGGGGGGAGGGTTGCTATGGTGAGTTACAGTAACGCATGGTCCGGCACAGCTATTTGTGTGTGTGTGTACTCACCTAGTTGTACTCACCTAGTTGTGTTTGCGGGGGTTGAGCTCTGGCTCTTTGGTCCCACCTCTCAACCGTCAATCAACAGGTGTACAGATTCCTGAGCCTATCGGGCTCTGTCATATCTACACTTGAAACTGTGTATGGAGTCAGCCTCCACCACATCACCCCCTAATGCATTCCATTTGTCAACCACTCTGACACTAAAAAAGTTCTTTCTAATATCTCTGTGGCTCATTTGGGCACTCAGTTTCCACCTGTGTCCCCGTGTGCGTGTTCCCCTTGTGTTAAATAGACTGTCTTTATCTACCCTATCAATCCCCTTCAGAATCTTGAATGTGGTGATCATGTCCCCCCTAACTCTTCTGTCTTCCAGCGAAGTGAGGTTTAATTCCCGTAGTCTCTCCTCGTAGCTCATACCTCTCAGCTCGGGTACTAGTCTGGTGGCAAACCTTTGAACCTTTTCCAGTTTAGTCTTATCCTTGACTAGATATGGACTCCATGCTGGGGCTGCATACTCCAGGATTGGCCTGACATATGTGGTATACAAAGTTCTGAATGATTCTTTACACAAGTTTCTGAATGCCGTTCGTATGTTGGCCAGCCTGGCATATGCCGCTGATGTTATCCGCTTGATATGTGCTGCAGGAGACAGGTCTGGCGTGATATCAACCCCCAAGTCTTTTTCCTTCTCTGACTCCTGAAGAATTTCCTCTCCCAGGTGATACCTTGTATCTGGCCTCCTGCTCCCTACACCTATCTTCATTACATTACATTTGGTTGGGTTAAACTCTAACAACCATTTGTTCGACCATTCCTTCAGCTTGTCTAGGTCTTCTTGAAGCCTCAAACAGTCCTCTTCTGTTTTAATCCTTCTCATAATTTTAGCATCGTCCGCAAACATTGAGAGAAATGAATCGATACCCTCCGGGAGATCATTTACATATATCAGAAACAAGATAGGACCGAGTACAGAGCCCTGTGGGACTCCACTGGTGACTTCACGCCAATCGGAGGTCTCACCCCTCACCGTAACTCTCTGCTTCCTATTGCTTAGATACTCCCTTATCCACTGGAGCACCTTACCAGCTACACCTGCCTGTCTCTCCAGCTTATGTACCAGCCTCTTATGCGGTACTGTGTCAAAGGCTTTCCGACAATCCAAGAAAATGCAGTCCGCCCAGCCCTCTCTTTCTTGCTTAATCTGTGTCACCTGATCGTAGAATTCTATCAAGCCTGTAAGGCAAGATTTACCCTCCCTGAATCCATGTTGGCGATTTGTCACGAAGTCCCTTCTCTCCAGATGTGTTACCAGGTTTTTTCTCACGATCTTCTCCATCACCTTGCATGGTATACAAGTCAAGGACACTGGCCTGTAGTTCAGTGCCTCTTGTCTGTCGCCCTTTTTGTATATTGGGACCACATTCGCCGTCTTCCATATTTCTGGTAGGTCTCCCGTCTCTAGTGATTTACTATACACTATGGAGAGTGGCAAGCAAAGTGCCTCTGCACACTCTTTCAGTACTCATGGTGAGATCCCATCTGGACCAACCGCCTTTCTAACATCCAGATCCAGCAGGTGTCTCTTGACCTCCTCTCTCGTAATTTCGAACTCCTCCAAGGCCGCCTGGTTTACCTCCCTTTCTCCTAGCACAGTGACCTCACCCTGTTCTATTGTGAAGACCTCCTGGAACCTCTTGTTGAGTTCCTCACACACCTCTCTGTCATTCTCTGTATACCTGTCCTCGCCTGTTCTAAGTTTCAATACCTGTTCTTTCACTGTTGTTTTCCTTCTGATGTGACTGTGGAGTAGCTTTGGTTCGGTCTTGGCTTTGTTTGCTATATCATTTTCAAAAATTTTCTCTGCTTCTCTTCTCACCCTGACGTACTCATTCCTGGTTCTCTGGTATCTCTCCCTGCTTTCTGGTGTTCTGTTATTCCGGAAGTTCCTCCACGCCTTCTTGTTCAGTTTCTTCGCTTCCATACATGCCCTATTATACCATGGATTCTTTTGTTGCTTCTCGGATTTTTCCCTTTGGGCCGGGATGAACCTGTTTACTGCCTCCTGACCCTTTTGGGTAACATAGTCCATCATACCCTGTACAGACTTGTCTCTGAGGTCTGTGTCCCAAGGTATTTCACTTAGGAAACTTCTCATCTGTTCATAATTCCCCTTTCGGTATGCCAGCCTTTTGATTCCTAGTTCTTTTTGGGGGGAGATAAGTCCTAGCTCTACCAGGTACTCAAAGTTCAATACACTGTGGTCACTCATTCCCAAGGGCGCTTCCATCTTAACTTCCCTTATATCCCATTCATTTAGGGTAAATATCAAATCAAGCATTGCTGGTTCATCTTCTCCTCTCATTCTTGTTGGCTCTTTGGTGTGCTGGCTTAGAAAGTTTCTTGTTGCCACGTCCAGCAGCTTAGCTCTCCATGTTTCTGGTCCTCCATGCGGGTCTCTGTTCTTCCAATCTATCTTCCCATGGTTGAAGTCTCCCATAATTAGTAGTCCAGATCCATTCCTGCTAGCAACAGAAGCTGCTCTTTCTATTATGTTAATGGTGGCCATGTTGTTTCTATCATATTCCTGTCTAGGTCTTCTGTCATTTGGTGGTGGATTATATATGACTGCGACTATAATTTTTTTCCCTCCATTTGTTACAGTACCTGCTATGTAGTCACTGAAACCTTCACAGCCCTGAATATCCATCTCCTCAAAATCCCAGCCTTTTCTTACCAGCAGAGCTACACCACCCCCACCTCTTCCTTCCCTCTCTTTCCGCATAACATAATAGTCCTGTGGAAACACTGCATTTGTTATTGTGATTTCGTGTGTGTGTGTGTGTGTGTGTGTGTGTGTGTGTGTGTGTGTGTGTGTGTGTGTGTGTGTGTGTGTACTTACCTATCTGTGCCAGTAAGTATGAACACAACCCCCCCCCCCCCGCACAACATTCGCCAACACGACAGTCCTCCCCACAACCATCATTCCTGTCTTGCTTCGACAAAGCAGACGACCACAAGTTGAATCCAACTCCTTATAAACCCCTTTTATATACCATTCAAGATAACAGAAGTAGTGCGCCCAATTGTTTTTAAACCAGGCCTGTTTAGCCAAGCCAGGACTCTCTTCCATCAATCTATTTCCTCTTCTCTTTCCCTCTATGCTACATTCCCTCAATGTTATCTTCCCTTCCCTCTCTCCTTCCCTCCTCCTTCACAACCTACTCTTCCTCACTCTCACCTGAAGGTTACCTCCTCTAAGTTAATTTGTTATCAAATCTGCATAGGAAATTTGGTCCATATTCCTGCAGGTCAAGGACCACAATTACTTTATTGAATAGAGAGGAGGCAGTGTAGGCGACGTCCAGCATGTCTGTCACGAGGCTCAGTGCTTCCTCCACCGCTGTCCTGCTGCGGGGGCCCTCGGTGCTGCTGGGGGCCCTCGGTGCTGCTGGGGTCCTCAGTGCTGCTGGGGCCCCTCGGTGCTGCTGGGGCCCCTCGGTGCTGCTGGGGGCCCTCGGTGTTGCTGGGGCCCCTCGGTGTTGCTGGGGCCCTCGGTGCTGCTGGGGCCCCTCGGTGCTGCTGGGGTCCTCGGTGCTGCTGGGGTCCTCGGTGCTGCTGGGGTCCTCGGTGCTGCTGGGGCCCTCGGTGCTGCTAGGGGCCCTCGGTGCTGCTGGGGCCCCTCGGTGCTGCTGGGGGCCCTCGGTGCTGCTGGGGGCCCTCGGTGTTGCTGGGGCCCTCGGTGCTGCTAGGGGCCCTCGGTGCTGCTGGGGCCCCTCGGTGCTGCTGGGGGCCCTCGGTGTTGCTGGGGCCCTCGGTGCTGCTGGGGGCCCTCGGTGCTGCTGGGGCCCTCGGTGCTGCTGGGGCCCTCGGTGCTGCTGGGGCCCTCGGTGCTGCTGGGGCCCCTCGGTGTTGCTGGGGCCCCTCGGTGCTGCTGGGGCCCCTCGGTGCTGCTGGGGCCCTCGGTGCTGCTGGGGCCCCTCGGTGTTGCTGGGGCCCCTCGGTGCTGCTGGGGCCCTCGGTGCTGCTGGGGCCCTCGGTGCTGCTGGGGCCCTCGGTGTTGCTGGGGCCCTCGGTGCGGCTGGGGCCCTCGGTGCTGCTGGGGCCCTCGGTGCTGCTGGGGCCCTCGGTGCTGCTGGGGCCCCTCGGTGCTGCTGGGGCCCCTCGGTGCTGCTGGGGCCCCTCGGTGCTGCTGGGGCCCCTCGGTGCTGCTGGGGCCCCTCGGTGCTGCTGGGGCCCCTCGGTGCTGCTGGGGCCCCTCGGTGCTGCTGGGGCCCCTCGGTGCTGCTGGGGGCCCTCGGTGCTGCTGGGGTCCTCGGTGCTGCTGGGGTCCTCGGTGCTGCTGGGGGCCCTCGGTGCTGCTGGGGGCCCTCGGTGCTGTTGGGGGGGCCCTCGGTGCTGCTGGGGCCTTCGGTGCTGCTGGGGGCCCTCGGTGCTGCTGGGGCCCTCGGTGCTGCTGGGGCCCCCTCAGTGCTGCTGGAGCCCCCTCAGTGCTGCTGGAGCCCTCGGTGCTGCTGGGGCCCTCGGTGCTGCTGGAGCCCTCGGTGCTGCTGGGGCCCCCTCAGTGCTGCTGGAGCCCTCGGTGTTGCTGGGGCCCCTCGGTGCTGCTGGGGCCCTCGGTGCTGCTGGGGCCCTCGGTGCTGCTGGGGCCCCTCGGTGCTGCTGGGGCCCTCGGTGTTGCTGGGGCCCTCGGTGCTGCTGGGGCCCCTCGGTGCTGCTCGGGCCCCTCGGTGCTGCTGGGGCCCTCGGTGTTGCTGGGGCCCTCGGTGCTGCTGGGGGCCCTCGGTGCTGCTGGGCCCCTCGGTGCTGGTGGCCCTCGGTGCTGCTGGGGCCCCTCGGTGCTGCTGGGGCCCTCGATGTTGCTGGGGCCCTCGGTGCTGCTGGGGCCCTCGGTGCTGCTGGGCCCCTCGGTGCTGCTGGGGGCCCTCGGTGCTGCTGGGGCCCTCGGTGCTGCTGGGGGCCCTCGGTGCTGCTGGGGCCCTCGGTGCTGCTGGGGCCCTCGGTGCTGCTGGGGCCCTCGGTGCTGCTGAGAGCCCTCGGTGCTGCTGGGGCCCTCGGGGCTGCTGGGGCCCCTCGGTGCTGCTGGGGCCCCTCGGTGCTGCTGGGGCCCCTCGGTGCTGCTGGGGCCCCTCGGTGCTGCTGGGGCCCCTCGGTGCTGCTGGGGCCCCTCGGTGCTGCTGGGGCCCTCGGTGTTGCTGGGGCCCTCGGTGCTGCTGGGGCCCTCGGTGTTGCTGGGGCCCTCGGTGTTGCTGGGGCCCCTCGGTGCTGCTGGGGCCCCTCGGTGCTGCTGGGGCCCTCGGTGTTGCTGGGGCCCTCGGTGCTGCTGGGGCCCTCGGTGTTGCTGGGGCCCTCGGTGTTGCTGGGGCCCTCGGTGTTGCTGGGGCCCCTCGGTGCTGCTGGGGCCCTCGGTGATTTACCACCGAGGGGCCGGCCCTACCAGCTGATTAAGAATTAAACATAAAAGCAACACTACGCTGGTCAGTCACAAGTCGTCCAAGGAGAGTGAGGCCACTTCCCCAGATCTTCAACAATGTCACTCCACCGACCAGTGCCTCTGTTCACTATTTGAAAGCGTTCGGGAGAAGAAAGCTGCTGGTGTGTTCATCTTGGGTTAGAGTAGCGTCAATGGCATGCTCTAAAGCAGGTGCAGCAGGAATTTCCACAGCGAATGCTGTTGAGTCGATTGCTTGAACCACGGACTTGGCAATGTCTCGGTTCAATCCTTCAAGTGCTTTTGCAGCGGCAGCATATAAGGGGAACCTCATTGGCATGAGAGAGCGGGGGACGGGTCGTCTCAGAAAACCCCAACACCCAAAGGGAGTAATGTGCCAGCATTTCCTTCCTTCTAAGTGAAGAACCTGTGTTGTTTGGCAGTGGCTGGAGTCGTTCCGGGTCAGGTCTAATTTCTCCTTGTATAAAGTATTCCAATAGCTTTATTGATCGGAGTCGAAGGCCACACTTTTTTCAAGATTCAGGGTCAACTATGTAACAAATTATATAATATATGTAACTAAAACTTGAACATGTAAAAGCATCTTAATCACCCTATGTGGTTAAGTGCCAAATGACTACACTAGTTTCAATAGCAAATATTTTACCCAGTTAAAGGAGAGACATAAATGTGTGTGTACCACACCGACCTCTCGAGTGAGAGACAGAAGCTCTGACCACTATGCTATGAGCAGCCTTAACAAGGAAAAGATTCCACAGGCAACTAACTGCTGCTAAGCTGGAATTTTAGATTCTCTCTGGCTTCTCCTAAAGCACACATTATCTGTGTCTTTAGTAGCAAGACATAACAAATTATCTTTGTGTCTTAATTCTTTTTATGGCTTGATAATATTGATTAGTTGTGCTGCGCCTGATCTGAGGTAACTATCCATCTCTGGGGCACCCTATTTCTCTGGGACACCCTTCTGGGGCACCCTGTGTCTCTGGGACACCCTTCTGGGGCACCCTGTGTCTCTGGGACACCTTTCTGGGGCACCCTGTGTCTCTGGGACACCCTTCTGGGGCACCCTGTGTCTCTGGGATACCCTTCTGGGGCACCCTGTGTCTCTGGGACACCTTTCTGGGGCACCCTTTGTCTCTGGGACACCCTTCTGGGGCACCCTGTATCTCTGGGACACCCTTCTGGGGCACCCTGTATCTCTGGGACACCCTTCTGGGACACACTGTACCTCTGGGACACCCTTCTGGGGCACCCTGTATCTCTGGGACACCCTTCTGGGCACCCTGTACCTCTGGGACACCCTTCTGGGCACCCTGTACCTCTGGGACACCCTTCTGGGGCACCCTGTATCTCTGGGACATCCTTCTGGGGCACCCTGTACCACTGGGGCACTCTGTACCTCTGGGACACCCTTCTGGGGCACCCTGTACCTCTGGGACACCCTTCTGGGGCACCCTGTGTCTCTGGGACACCTTTCTGGGGCACCCTGTACCTCTGGGACACCCTTCTGGGACACCCTGTACCTCTGGGACACCCTTCTGGGACACCCTTCTGGGACACCCTGTACCTCTGGGACACCCTTCTGGGACACCCTGTATCTCTGGGACACCCTTCTGGGGCACCCTGTATCTCTGGGACACCCTTCTGGGGCACCCTGTATCTCTGGGACACCTTTCTGGGACACCCTGTACCTCTGGGACACCCTTCTGGGACACCCTGTACCTCTGGGACACCCTTCTGGGACACCCTGTATCTCTTGGACACCCTTCTGGGGCACCCTGTATCTCTGGGACACCCTTCTGGGGCACCCTGTATCTCTGGGACACCCTTCTGGGGCACCCTGTATCTCTGGGACACCCTTCTGGGGCACCCTGTATCTCTGGGACACTCTTCTGGGGCACCCTGTATCTCTGGGACACCCTTCTGGGGCACCCTGTACCTCTGGGACACCCTTCTGGGGCACCCTGTATCTCTGGGACACCCTTCTGGGACACCCTTCTGGGACACCCTGTACCTCTGGGACACCCTGTACCTCTGGGACACCCTTCTGGGGCACCCTGTACCTCTGGGACACCCTTCTGGGACACCCTGTACCTCTGGGACACCCTTCTGGGACACCCTGTACCTCTGGGACACCCTTCTGGGGCACCCTGTACCTCTGGGACACCCTTCTGGGGCACCCTGTATCTTTCATTAGGTAATACAAAAAATATATATTTAATTTGAAATATCTTGATGTCATCATTCAAGTCAGACGTCAGTCTTCTTCATGTCTTATAAGTGAAACTACTTTCCTCCGTCCTAACGAGCACTGACGGGACAGATTTAATAAAGTAATTGAGACTGTTCTGATGCAAATTTCACTGAGGATTAATGCAGACAATTGCATCAGTTGAAAATTTGAATATTATCAAGTTTTCTAATCAGGCATTTAAGCTGATCCAGGTCAGCAAGAGTGGCCTTTTTCCTGGTGTAGATGTGGTCTAAAGAGGTCTAAGGTCTGGTCTAAATGAGGTCTAAGGACTAAACTAGCTTAGAGAGTAATACAAAATAAAGAAAGCGTTTGTAACAGTCCTGGGGGGCCTGATGGCTGAGTGGACAGCGCTTGGCATTCGTAGTCCGGGGTTTGATCCCCGGCAGAGGCGGAAACAAATAAACAGAGTTTATTTCGCCCTGATGCCCCCTGTTCACTGAGCAGTAAATAGGTACCTGGGAATTAGACAGCTGCTACGGGCTGCTTCCTGGGTGTATGTAACAAAAAAGGAGGCCTGGTAGAGGACCGGGCCGAGGGGACGCTAAACTCCGAAGTCATCTCAAGATAACTTCAAGAAGAAGAAGGAGATAGTCGTTCTACCTGTGCCCATGTCCCTCTCCCCTCAGCTCATGCATATCTTCCTGTCCCCTCTACGCCTTCACGTGGCACCGTGTCCTCACACACACGTCCCAATCCCGTCGAGTCGCTCACATGTCCCCATTTACACTACTTGCGCACATCTCCTTATTCCCCCTCTACTCACACTCACCTCAACATCTCCTCTACTCACACAAACAGACGTATTTGACAAACGTAAACAATTTCTGACGTCACAAGGGTGCACCGTCTAGTGGACTTCAATCATTAAATGGCTGAGCTATTTTAAAGGCCTACCCTATGGTATGCATGATAAAAAAAACAATTTCGAATCCCATATAGACCAACTGCACAAGCGGATTTTTTTTCACAGGAGGAAATCGTAGATAGCAATTGGAACCAAACTAATCGTCACAGGAGCAAACGACATCAGAAGAAAGTGTATGAAATCTACGACTATTAAACACACAAAATTACTTAGCATAGAGTCGAGTAAAAATTCAGAAAATCGTAACTCCACGTACTTAATTAGTAACGCAAAAACATTCTGTTTGATGTGCTTAACCCTTGCACTGCGCACCTGTTTTTTGGCCAAAATTTCATGGTGCTGTTGTTAAGGACAAATTTTTGTTGTATTTTATAAATGTTTAGATAGTGTTAATGTTAAAATGTTTTAATCCCTCAATTTTCATCAATGTAAAGTCTACTCTCAACTTAAGTTTTATCTCAGTCAATGTTTGCGTTTTGTGCTCTTTTGTAATTAGATTATTTTTGCTTCTCTCTCATCTATCTGTCCCTTTTTCACCTTTAATCTTTTCTTCTCTGCCTCTTCCTTATTCGCCTTGAAGTAACCCCCCTTAAGTGACCTTTGGAGGCGTCAAGACCCCACACAAAATATTGAGAGACACCGGAGAGTGGGAGAACAGTGTGTGTGTGTGTGTGTGTGTGTGTGTGTGTGTGTGTGTGTGTGTGTGTGTGTGTGTGGGGAGGTTGACCTGACTGCCTCACTGGGGCCTCGCCACACCCTTAATGTGTGGTCAAGGACATCCTTCCTCTTCCCCTGTCCCAGTCCAACTTTCCGTTTACCTGTCTGGTACTTGGGTTTGGACGGTAGAGCGCCGGTAGAGCGTCATGCAAGTCCGTGTTTAATCGCCGACCGTCGAAGTGGTTGGGCGTCATTCCTTCCTTCCCCACCCCCCCACCCCCCCTGCGTCCCATCCCAAATCCTTATCCTGACCCTTTCTCAGTGCTATATAGTCGTGGTGGCTTGGCGTTTTCTCCCGATAGTTCCCTTACCTGTGTGGTAGCCCGTCCGTGTGCTTACAACGTTATACTCACATAGTTGTGCTTGCGGGGGTTGAGCTTCGGCTCTTTCGTCCCGCCTCTCAACCGTCAATCAACTGGTAATTACCTAAGAGTAGTTACAGGATGAGAGCAACACTCGTGGTGTCCCGTCTTCCCAGTACTCTTTGTCATACAACGCTTTGAAACTACTACAGGTGTACAAGGTTCCCGAGGCTATTGGGCTCTATCGTACCTACATATGAAGCTGTGTATGGAGTCTGCCTCCACCACATCACTTCCTAGTTCATTTCACTTGTGAAATGACAGTGACGCTGTCAGTGAAATGAAACTTACTGACACCGAAGAAATTCTTTGAATGTCTCTTTGGCTCATTTGGGTACTCAGTTTCCGCCTATTGCCACCTTTCTTGTGTACCATCTATGGTAGTGATCTTTATCTCAACTCCACCCCACTCAACATCTACACTGTCCATTCCTCTGAGAACTGTGTAGGTGGTGATCATCTCTCTCTTGACTCTTCTGTCTTCGGTGGTGATCATCTCTCTCTTGACTCTTCTGTCTTCGGTGGTGATCATCTCTCTCTTGACTCTTCTGTCTTCGGTGGTGATCATCTCTCTCTTGACTCTTCTGTCTTCGGTGGTGATCATCTCTCTCTTGACTCTTCTGTCTTCGGTGGTGATCATCTCTCTCTTGACTCTTCTGTCTTCGGTGGTGATCATCTCTCTCTTGACTCTTCTGTCTTCCAGCGACGTGAAGGTTTAATTCCAGTCTTGACTCTTCTGTCTTCCAGCGACGTGAAGGTTTAATTCCAGTCTTGACTCTTCTGTCTTCCAGCGACGTGAAGGTTTAATTCCAGTCTTGACTCTTCTGTCTTCCAGCGACGTGAAGGTTTAATTCCAGTCTTGACTCTTCTGTCTTCCAGCGACGTGAAGGTTTAATTCCAGTCTTGACTCTTCTGTCTTCCAGCGACGTGAAGGTTTAATTCCAGTCTTGACTCTTCTGTCTTCCAGCGACGTGAAGGTTTAATTCCAGTCTTGACTCTTCTGTCTTCCAGCGACGTGAAGGTTTAATTCCAGTCTTGACTCTTCTGTCTTCCAGCGACGTGAAGGTTTAATTCCAGTCTTGACTCTTCTATCTTCCAGCGACGTGAAGGTTTAA